CTTTTTATTTACATATTGTCTTTTATGTATAAATTTTGTCAGGATAAATATATGAAATATAACATAGTTAATATATTTTTTCTGATCAATTCTATGAAAGAATACTTCATTAAAGAATATATATGATTATTAACTTGTATAACTTGTACTCTGAATAAGCTCACACATATACAGTAGAGCGTCGTTTATCCGAATCAATTGGAGACTGGGGTTGTTCGGATAACTTGTTTTTCGGATAACCGATTACGTACGAAAAAATATATTAACCTATCCCACGTTGAAATTTTTCTCCGTTACGTGTCGCTTCGCTTTGAATTTTCGTCGATGTTAAGCCTAACGTAAACTTTTTAAAATAACAATCGTGGCTATTNTGATGCAAGTATGTCCAAACAGTCAGAACATTCAATCTTCTCTTCAGTGATACGTACTAAGTATACAGCAATGTATGCCATTGTAGCAGATTGAATGTTTGGCTTTATAATATTGGAAGGTTTAATCTCTAGCTGTTTCAGTTGTGGCTCAATATGCTTAGTAACTTCTTTGACAGTATGGTTCTTATCCATACATACCTTTAAAAATAAATTATTATTATAATGATTACTTTATTACAGTATTAGGTCTATTAAAATAATTTATTAATCAAAATATAATACCCGATTTACAATAATGGTCATGTCTTCATCAGGAGGTATCCATTTCTCACAAGCTAAGCTTATTGCATTGCTTTCAAGGGATGCAAAAATTAATCCTGTTTTAAGAATTGTATGCAGTCCTTGCATTATGCTACAGGCGTTTGTCTGGTCATTGAATCCAGACATGGACCGCAGTCCACTGAAAAGGTTCTCTATATCAACTGAATTGAATTTTCTGGTTAATATAAAATCAAAGCCATTCTCTAACAAATACCTGATACAGAGAACAGTGGATCTGGTTGTAAGGCAAGTAGCTTCATAAGTTTGCTTACTGATAAACTGGACATTGGGACTGTCACAGCTATCTTTCCAGGACTGTAAATATCCCAAAAACTCGCCTTCCAACCAATTAAGCCTTTCATCATTAGCAGAAACAAACTGCATCACTGTTGTATTTCTGGAATGAATGTGGTGTTGAGTATTGCTGATATTGTGAACAGCAAACCATTTTTGCATCATTTCCAAATACTCAATTGTGCCCTCGGGCTCAACAAAGTTCAAGTTCCCAAACCGTGTCCATGCTGCTGTAAAAACTTCAGTGCAGCAACTACATTTTGGCTGCATATTTCCACTGCATGCTTAACCTTCATCTTATCAAAATTTGTTGGGTAGACATGTTTAAAAGTTAAGCATCTTACTGGTTTAATAACACGATCTCTCTGTAGGTGAAACAAGTTTCGGAGAAATACACCACTAATATGTTTTCCACGATTCACCATTACCCTACTTGGAGAAAGAAGCAATGACCAGAAATTTTTAAATATATGACATGGATCATATGATAGTAATATTGAACGATTATTGTCCATTGGGTGTGGAATCTTCGGAATTGGAGGGTTGACAGCACTAAGTAATTCAAATAACTTAACATTTTTACTATGGCCATCAGCAACTATCCTGAGTACTTTTAGATCTGCTGCCTCCACTGAATGGATCACATCTAAAGTTAAAGTATAAAGTTCCTGACCTTTTAAATCACTGGTAAAAAATATGCAACAGGAATTTGAAAATTTTTTGATAGTCCTGAAAACACAAAACACAGGAGACTATTTGCTGTGACATGTTCAAGTCCGAGTTGTTTTTCCAGGCCATTCATCTTTACTGTTCCCACTATTTCGTCTGCTTGCTTGTTATACTGCTGATTAGGTTTAATGGTCATTTCATCCAAAATAAGTGTTTTTGTTGGTGAAGTTGGATAAACTGAGCCAGCAAGGATGTAAACGGGAGACGGACGAAACTTCTATACGTCTTTATTCTACGAAGAGCTACAGACACGCTACACGTTAGAAAAATAGCAATAATTCAGAGGGTCACAGGCAACTAGAAAAAATAAACAGTGTCACCGTACATCGCATTCTATCTTTCAGGAGACCAAAGAAAAGGAACTGGCCGATTCTTTGGCCAAAATGGCTGGTACTCTCAAGACGCAGGATACATATACCAGGTTACCAAAATCAAAACTGAAAAATTACTTAAACGAATGGGCACTACTTGAATGGCAGGAAAATTGGAATAATTCTACAACGGAGAGACTTTGCCACCAGCTTATTCCCTCTATTACTAATCGCATCAAGGCTAATTACTACAAATCTAGATCCGAAACCACCCAATGTTTAACGGGGCACGGCAATTTTATGGCCTACCTCTACCGCTTTAAGAAGAGAAACACTTGATAAATGCCGGTGCGACAATAATAGTGTAGGAGATGCCATTCATTTTATATTCCACTGTGAACGATATGAGGATCAACGCATTCCATTCTATAGGGAATGCCTTCAAGAAGGTCATAATTGGCCACCGACACTACAAAACATTTTTGATAAGAAAAATCTCTGGAAGTGTTTTGAAAGGTTTATTGAGAGCACCAGGGCTCTTCTGCCAGACTTCTACAGGAAAGAAAAAGTTCTTCAGAATGAAAACAAGAACAGACAAGATGAGCAGGAAGATAGTGAAAAAATCGGAAAAGTGATGTTATCAGCGATTGATCGATCGGCCGTGTAAAATTCTTCTGTACATAGTTTAGTTGTCTAGTATTAGTTTAGTTTTAGATTCTAGATTCAAAAAAAAAAATCCCATTTACATGTATCAGGTCCATGTAATCTGTAAGTAATACAGATTACATGGTACGTGAGGACCTGATCATAGTAAGCTGATATTTACATTCTCTCTACGTGTTAAAATTGTAATCAGTTCTTAATGTTATTGTAACATTGCTGTGTTCAAGGTTAGTTTATACCTGCCCATATGTAATGGGTCTTGCATTTTACTGTAACCGGACTATTTCTCGTAATTGTTAATACTGTATAACGGTCTTGCCAACTTTTGTAATTTTGGTTACTAATAATTTCCGATGCAGCCCTCTGAGGTCCTAATAACTTTTTTCAGCGTTACTTTTTCCCTTTTCCTTTATACTTCTCCCTTCAGAACCCTTCCTTCAACCTTTTCTTCACTCCTTTCTCTTCGTAGAGGGCTAAGTTTGCAAAAGCAGACAGCCCTTCCTCCTCCTTTATTATTATTATTATTTCAGGAGACCAGGAGATAAACTTTTTAACACGTGACAGCCACATTCCTAACAAAGTAAACCTAATTTTTCCACTTGTGACAACTTTTTTGCCTCCTGAGTTAATCGTTGCTTAATTAGGGAACCCACACTAACCCTATATATCCAGAAACAGACTCTATATATCTTTTCAATGTCGATTTTGATGGTAATAATAAAAGTGGAGTTTTTCTAGCAAATGTATACCCCTAGAAGACTTTTTGCACTATAAGACACAGTATTTTACTGTGTTCTGGCTCCAACGAGGCTTTTGTTTATTGTAAACAACCAGCTGTTCAAGTATGAAATATGCTTTGCTGTTACCTAGAAAAATGTATAATTTTATTAGTCACTAACACAAATCAACCAAAAAAGTTAAACAATCAATAGTAGGCTACATAAAATCAATTTTGTCTTATAATGTACTATATTGATATAATAGGATATTAGGAATACTAATACGTTACCACGTTAATTATTATAACATACCTTGGGCACTGTCATTCTCTAAGCTTTCTATATGATATTTTTCAAGTTTTCCAGCTAACAATTTATTTTCTGCTTTCATTCTATCTTGTTCTTCATATAGGCACTTGGTAGTGTGATCTTGTCTCCTGCATTTCTGCTCCAAAGTTTTCAGTCTTTTCTTGTCAGACTTACGTTTTAACATTGTATAACGTGTCCCTACAGAAACGTCTATACCAGATGCAGAACTAGACGGCCTTATGTCACAGTCTGAAAGTTCACACATGGGTGTGGAACTAGAGAACCTGCTTTCATAGTCTAAAGCAGCTCTGCCCACTGGACTCATTAACGGGACTTGATATGTACTTGTTTAGATTGAACACGCTTTCGTTTGGTACCAGTACAAACTCCTTTCTTGGGACTAACCTTTTTTACTTCTCTTCTGGCTTCTTTACGAACAACCTGCTTATAGTGTGAGGACCCAACCGGGGTCCGAAAGGAGGCCATTAACGACTTTTTAAATGAGTCAAGTTTCGTAGCACGACAGAGCGAACTTAAAGATCGGATTTAAACAAGGAACCTTTTGTCTTGTTAAAAGATTTTAAACAATAGATAAAGTCGAAGAAAACGAGGTTGGAGAGTAGTCGTGTTCCGACGCGACGTTGACCTCTTCCGCGCCCATAGTTGGGTTTCGAATTGTCACCATGTGACGAGGAGAGACCAATGGAGAGGCGACGGAGGTGGAAAAATCGATAAAAATGCGCTTTCGGGAATTTTACGGGGTCTTGGGTTTTGGTGCATAGTGCTCACCTGCTGGGATTTGGTGCTCACGATAGAGACACAACGAAGGCTCTTTCGACGCCCTAGGAACTGGTTTCGCCAACCCGTCTCTTCCAGAATCGCCAAGGGTCCGTCCAGAATTGTCGAGGTTAGACTCGTCCACCGAGGACGTCTGTACAAGTGTAGGTGCGTGCCCCGAGGCCATCGTTCTCTGCTTCCAGCGTGCTGACAATACCCAAGGACCAATCGAACAGTCGCACTTTTCCGTTTTTATTAGAACTGTTATAGTAGTCCTTCGTTGGATAGGCTTTCGCCTGACTTATTGTAAGAACAACTTAAGTATATTATGAAACGGGTTCATATGGTAAACCTGTCTCGGTGAGTCATTCCGCGCCCACACAACAGTATTGACCGCTCGGCTGTCGGAAAAACCTCACCCCTAATCGGCTGACCTCACAATAAAATTTTGTATTTGTGAAAAACGCTTGGGACAGTATTTTGAATCAATATTCTCTTTTTCAATCCTGGTTTATAATCTGATTCCAGAAAGTGCTTACTGCAAACAACTGACAAGTCAGTTGTCAACTGTTTTCATCTGTAAATTTTAAAGAGTTAGCTTATACGGTAAATCTATTGGTTATACTATCTATAAATAATTTGTAAGCATAAATAGATAAATTGTACAAAAGTTTAAAAAATATAGCCTACAAAAGTTTCAAAATATAGCCTAATCTCATTGCAATTAGGGGTCGTGCAAAAACCGTACTTGTCATCATTAAGGGGGAAGTTATATGTATTTAATTTTTTGTATTTAATATATGGGCTATGAACTTTAGAAGCGTTAGCATTGATGTTTAAAGCATTGCTCTTTTGTTTTTGTTTCTTGCTGTCTTTAATCTCTTTTGAGCCTCCTCTTTCAGCGTTATATTCATTGATCTGTGCAATATTTTCATTTGGACATGTCTTGACTAGATGTCCTAACTGTTGACATTTGTAACATCGGGTCATTTGTAAAGGCATCTGAGCATTGCACTTGGGGTCTCTTCTTATCGACTTCTCGTCTGTATGTTTAATAAAATCAACTGCAATAGCCGGATCCTTTAATCGAGCATTCGTATTATTTGAGAACTTATGAGGTTGTTGAACTTGAGTCTTCATATGCATCCTGGCCTCAGTCTCTTGCTCATCTATCTTGCGTGCTATACGCTGTAGTTCTGCAATATTGTGCACATCATGAGTAGCAATAGTAACTGTGTGTTGTTTATTTTTTATTCCATCCAGCAAATAATCAATTTCGTCAGCTTCAGTAACATTTACAGGACAGTTAGTACGCAACAAACACAGCTTAGCATAGAAATAATCTGTGAGACTTTCATCTTGTCTTTGTTCTCTTTCTTTCACTCTGTCACACCACATTCTCAACGTCAGTCTTTTACCAAATTCGCTTTTTAAGCTTGTCTTCCATTCAGTCCAATTGTTAAGCTGGTAACCAATTGCTTTATGCCAGTTTTTCGCTGCTCCTCTCAGTTTGCTGATGGCTAGCGGAAGAACTTGGGTCTCAGCTAGTCTGTGTTGATTTCGAGTCAATTCAATATAATTCAACCATTCGTCAGCACTCTCTGTAGTAGTACCACCAAATTCAGGAAGAGAACTTGTCAAATCAGGTACAGTTTGGACTTCAATAACTGTCTCCTTTAAGTTTCGCACTGCCTGTTGCTGGTTATCTATTAATAATATTACTTTTTCCATTAGCGTTTGCATCATACTCATAGGATTTGGATTTACAGCTTGATCTTCAGAAGGAGATTCGTTAACGACTTGTTCCTCTTTTGGGTAAGATTTACCCTCCGAATGAGGGAGTTGCCACCCCCAAAGGGTAGCCCTCCCCCGTACGAACAATAAATGTCTAATGAACCACCCCCTATGCGCGACCCTTCGCGAGATATAAGCCCCTGAAGATTCGCCTACGTCATATCTGGTCACCTGACATCATGGTCAAAAGGCAGTCTACCACGCGAAAAAAAAATTTTAACGCGCACTCCTTATTTAGGTCTCTCTCTCCTTGCGCTTCCCTGCTCTGCCTTCGCTGTCGCCGTCTGTCCTTTCTGCACCGGCCCGCAGTCCAAGTCACCTGCCTGAAGTCATCCGTAGTCGCCATCTATTGCCTGTAAATATAATTATACATTATTATTCTTACCTTAGCCGAGCCTCAAACCCAGGTCTATGTTGACTATAGTCCAAGACTTTGTCCACTAGTCCAGCACATCCTCTTATCAGAAATATTTCGGAACTAATATTTGAGACAAACGAGCCCAAGGACAGCACTGCGCATGACAGCCAAATCACGTGGTCGTTCCTCAGCCATAGAGACGTAGCGCACTCTGAGGACAAATGGGACGCGGGTCACGTGACACTCAAACCCGTCTCCCGAGGCTCCGCGGGCCAATGGGGTGGCAACCGCGGGTCACGTGACACTCGTAACGGTTTCAGCGGTTATATAAGCCGTACTCTCCTTCATATCCTCGCACTCAGTATTTGTTAATTATTGGAAACGTTAAAATCAAAACATGCCTTATTCGTGTGATATTTCGGCGTCTCCCGTTATGCATCCTGCCACAATATTCAATAATATGACATCTTACAGTTTTCTTCGCTATCTCCCCACCGAAGAGGCTGCACAGACGTTTTGCCATCTTGTGGGGCTCGTGCCACATCTGGACCTAACCGGTTTCTTTCCGCTATGTCCTAAGTGCGGAGCCTTTCCGAAGTCCTAAGTCCTTTCCTCGATTCCCGCGTTTACACGAGTGCTATCTGCAGCTATCTGGGTTAATGTTATTAATGGTTCGAAAATGGCGTCGCTTCAGTTAGGTTCGTTTCGTTTTCGTTACATTAGCTACATTTTTATCCGTCTGGACCACGAACCGTCAGAAGTACGGTCATTTTGAAACCATGGATAACAGTAACCGCTATCGTGTTTCGATATTTGACCAAGCGAGTTAATAGTAGTAGTATTGGTAAACATTAACTGCCAATATTCCAATTTACTAGTTTTTCGATATTTTTGTCGTAATCTTTAGGCACTATGCAGAAGGAACCGGCTCCATCTGACAGGTTCGGATTCGTCTACCGCTGTGAAAGAGTACAGCAGAAAAAGAAGATGAGGAGGCGGACTGGTGGCACCGTCTTCAGGGCCATGTACACTGGTTCCCTGTCTTGCACCCACAACACCTTTTTCGAAAGGACACAGCTGTCAGCCCAAGAGGTATGACATTTGAAGTCGCTCGTGAAACGTGATCGCAGAATCGTCGGTTTCTTTTTCTCTGGGTCAGGTTACGCTTTGCATTTCTGTAATTTGATCGTATGGCTCGAGATGATATGTGTTTTGTTGGTTTTCTATTTTACAGGTGCTGATGCTTATTTATTCGTGGGTCAAGCAGGAGCCGCTCACCGTCGCCGCGGAGGAATGCGGCGTGGCCCCCAAAACAGCAGTAGATTGGTACAATTACTGCCGTGAAGTTGCGGAGGTTATCGTCTCTCACCAGCAAAATATCCAGCTTGGGGGTGAAGACATGCACGTCGAGGTGACCATCGACTCACGTTTCTGACTTTGCCGAAATGTCTGTCTCTATATTCATATGTTTTATTTTCAGATCGACGACACCTTCACCCGGAGGCAAAAATACAACCGCGGCCGCGTAACTAAAGGCACCCAAATTACCATCTTCGGTGTCTATTGTTGGGAAACAAAAGAGGTGATGTACTGGCATGTAAGTAGTAGCCAAGCATTATTATTTCCTTTTATTTTTTAGTTTTTGTGGAAGTTTTGTTATAGTTTCTTAAATTCTTTCAGGTGGACAACAAGAAACGACGGGTTCTCTGGAGCCACATGCTCAGATACATCGCCCGCGGTTCCATCGTTTCCGACAGCGCGGCCCAATATCGTGGTTGTACAACGATGGGCTTCTCTGAACATAAGACCGTCAATCACAGCCAGCGGGGCCCTGGGAGGTAAGGAATATAAAGCTGTGCAATGTGTTATGTGAAAGAAATGAACAGGCGTTATTGAAAAGTGACATTTTTCTTTTATTTTCCGAGCAGATTCATCGACGCCGATGATCCCGAGGCCCACACTCAGAACATCGAGTGCAGAAATCGTTGGCTGAAGAAGTCTATCAAGTTGCTCCGCATGGACAGGAGCCTGCAGAGCTACAACTGTACGTACATGTACAAGACGCGGGTCCTGTCCCAGTTGCCAACAACATCGGCAAAATTTCGGCAGTTTCTCGGGGACATCGCGGCCGTCTACCCGGGCCCCGGTCGTCAGTGTCTCCAACTCCGGACGATCGGTGTGCCCGTGGATCAACATCTGCCGCCGGACGAGCCCTATTTCGATGTTCCCGTGCTCGAGGGCGACGAAGAGGAACGGCAGAGGGATGACGACCACCCAGTGAGTAGTGCAGCTTGTGTATAGTGCGCGTGACCAGAGGATACCTATTTGTGGATGTGAAACCTGGATTATATGATTTTTCAGACAACATCGGGCGCCAACAACACCTTCGCCATCGACCCCCAGGACATAGCCGAGGCGGCGACCAGCGGCCTCACCCCGTCCTCACATATGCAACATCGGGAATAGGCTAGGCGTCGCCAGGTAGCGAAAGGACGTGGTGGGGGACGCAGGAGAAGACGCTGTTGAAGGTGAGTGTACAATCTGGTTTCTAAACGGTTTTCTATTAGCCTAAGTCGTGACGGTCACCTCCGAAGAGGTAGGTCAGGTGTTTTGGACAAGCCCGAAAGCGGCACGTGGTACTAGCCGACCGCGATTGAAACCGAGCGTGTCGGCCCCAGGCTCCGAGGTCAAGGATGAGCGCGGGGTCGTGCGAAAAGGACCTAACTCGGCAATAATTAGACTGTAGTAACATTAGAATAGGTCAATAGGCTTAGCGGTGCTTAGTACGGTAGCCGACCGGGCGAGCAAAACCCAGTGTGTTGGCGAATGAGGGGCCCTAGACCCTCCCGAGGTCGAGGAGGAACGCGGGGTCATGCGAAAAGGACCTAACTCCGATAATTAGACTGCAGTAACGTTAGAATAGGTCGATAGGCTTAGTAGAAAGAGCGACGCGACTCGTCAATCCCGATCGCCGGAAATGACGTAGGCGATTGTTTACACGGCTGTATCTTGTAAAGGGTCGCGCGCAGGGGTATGGTTCCTTTGTCTTTTTCGTTCGCACGGAGGGGGTCAATTCGGGGGGGGGGTCGCAGACCGCTCATTCGCAGGGTAAATTGTGGCTAACATGTGGTCACGTGAACCCACAATAGAACAATTTTCGGAGGGCTATATCTCGCAAAGGATCGCGCGTAGGGGGATGGTTCATTAGACATTTATTGTTCGTACGGGGGGATACTACCCTTTGGGGGGTGGCGACCCCCTCATTCGGAGGGTAAATCTTACCCTCTTTTGCCTTGCTAGTTTCGCTAACATTCTTTTTCACTTAACATTGCGCTACTCAGTCGTTCTATTAGTTCAGATTTTTTTACCAACTCGTGATAATTGCCTTCTCTCCAATTCCTCTTTCAAATATTCATTGGTCCTTCCTTCTAAATCATGTTTAATTTCTTCAACCGCAGACATATTAGCTTCTAACCGAATCACGATCGTCAACTTAAAATTCTTAGTTTTTTCTAATATCGGCGTTAAATCTTTAAGCTATTGCTTCCTAGAGTTAGCTCTTAAGCTTTTCTATAACTTTGATTCGGTTACGACCAAAATTTTACACTTTTAACTTCAATCTTAAACTTCAAGACTTCCTACCTTCGTCCGTGCGCCTTACTTGTTTCGGCTCGTTTCTTGTAGACGTGGTTGTTAGCGGCACATCAGCTAATGTTGTCGACTGCGCCAATTCTTGTACG